CAGGAGGATTTCATCGAACAAATGGAAGCAACGGCAGTAGAACCAGTGTTTTCCTGGGAATACATGGGACTCCGTAGGAAACATGGTCTCGTTGCCATGAGAGCAGCGGCCCCACCTACCCAGGAAGGCCTTGCTGCATGCAGCACTCTTACCCTGACGGCACAGGTGTGCTGGAAATGCCCCTGGCCTAGGGATGACCACCATCCTCAGTCCCTGCCTGGTGGCCATCACCTTCAGACACAAGGAAGCCAGTCACCAGGTTGGGACCAAAGGGGTGCTGAAGAGCCAGAGATGCTCTAAGCGATCTCCCATGATGATACCCCAAGGAGGCCCTGGAGAGGAAGACAAGGGATCCAAGTAGGAAAACAGCTTCTCCAGCACAAACCTCAGCAGAGACACAACAGAAATCTGTTGTCATGGAGACCAGACCCTTCCCCCACAGCCTGAACTGAATAATGACAGCCCAGGGAACCTAGAAGTGCTTGCAACACCCCCAGTAATAGTGTTCCACAGGGCCCTGGTGATGCCATGAAAGCAAGCTCTGGAGGAAGGCAGGAGATTGAGGCATGGAAGACAGACAGAGACTTCTGTTAGGGTGAGGTGTAAATCTTAGCTGTGGGCAAACAGAGAGGAAGAGTCATCACTGATTTTTTTTCTTCTTGTCCTTCAATGCCCTACACAAACATGTCTTCTTCAAGAATCCACCCATCCCTCCCTGGTTCCCCAGGGTTTGTCTGGGTTTGGGCCCCACTGAGATCAGCCACATCCTGCAAGTCAGGAAGTGGTACTCCAGAGCAGGTCTGAGCTCTCCAAACCAGCTGGTCACGCCTATGCCCTCCTTCGTCCTCCACATCCTTCTCAGACTAGAGAAACTGCCAGTCTCTTTCAGGAAGTTTCCCCTACCCCAACCTAGACAGTTTCCTCTTGCTCACTTGCTAACCTGACCTCCTGCCTGTGGACTCTGGACTCTGTGGGACTGGGCTTATCTGAGACTCACAGGCTGGGGGCAAACCACACAACTTTTCTGAGGTGGCCCCAGAGTCATCACAGTCCTTGTATGCTGGCCTAGTGGGGCCTCCTCCTGTCCCCTCACAGGCATAGAATCCCGTACAGTACGGCAGGCTGAGCAGAGGGGCAAACATCAGCAGCATCACTTAAGGCCCAGCTGTGGCTGCCAGGGCTGACGATGCCAGTATCCTTCCAGAGACCAAGTCTAAAAGACCCTCTGACATCCCCAACGACTTGCATGAGGCGTGGAATGACTAAAGTGCTAAGACTCAGGCATCAAACCGCCTAGGTTCATCTCTACCCCTGATGCACCTTGGGCAAGTCTCATTTTGAGACTTTCTGAACATCAGTGTCTTCATAATAATGGCGGTTAGGTAAGATTGCACATGTTGTGCATTGGGAACAGGACCTGCCAGACAGTTAGCAATTTAAGAGAGTATTAGAATCCATAACACCAAGGCTGAAGCCTGGAGAGCTGGTATGTTTCTGGATGAGATGGGAAAAGAAACTGGAAGTCCCAGCAGAGGGGATCCTGACAGTAGGCCAGGAAGACAGCTTCTAAAGCTGTGAGCGAGGCCAGCTGGGCAGGGTGTGAAACCTCTCAAAATAACCTACTTCTTAGAAACTCCACACTGCATTTTCTGGAGGATCCCCGGGATCCTCATTTAAAAAGCAAATTGCTCACCTTGACAATTCAGAAGGCTCCAGCAGTGTGGTACATGGGAGCTCCTCAGATTCTTCCTTTTCAGGAGAGGGGCAACCAGGAGAAAAGCTGGGGTGCAATCAAACCATTGCTGGGGTTTCCTTTGTATAGGTCTTCCAGGCCCTCCACAAGCCTCCTGATTATTGACTTAGTTACAAGTAGCCCTGTGGAGGCTGATCTGACAGGTCTGGAGATAAGAGGGTGTGGCAGCTGACAAATGAGAAAGTACCTGGCCTCGATGGCAGCCCCACCCAACCTCAAATCCAGCTCATAGCACCAGCTCTGACAGGCCAGCCCAGCCTGTGCAGCAATGCAGGGATCTCCTGGCATACGGACGCAGCACCCCCCCAGTTCATGCACCTTGACTAAGAAGGGAAAAGGAGACACTGGGAGCCCCAGTGGTCAGAGGGAAGGACCCTCAGTTTCTAAAGCCCAGAGAGCAGGGGAGGAAGACAGCTACCTCTCCAGTCATGAGCAAAATCCTGCTTTCTCTTCAAGGCTTTTATTGTTTTTATTTACTTAAGTGCCATGATCACTTCTGCCTGCCAGTGAGCCAAGGAGCACAAGTGTGCTGGGTAGGAAGACATGAGGGAAGGATTCTGGCCTCTGCTACATCCCCCCCTCCCCCCATAAGGGTGGGGTGACTGGTAGGGAACAGGTCTAAAGGTGCCCAGTTTAAGAGAAGCTGAGGGGTGTCATCAGGCAGTTATGTCTGAGTGAAAACAGTCCCCTGCCCCCATACTTGGCAGACAGTTCAATTCCTGCCAAGGGGACAGCAGCTAGTGCTTAGGGTGGAATGCAAAGCGGATGACTCCAGAGGTGGCAGAAGCTAGCCTTGGGAGGGAGCTGCTGAGTGTGAACAAAGCCAAGATAGACCAAGTCCGTGGTCAAGAGTTTGAGGGAAAGGAAGAGGCCTGCTCTCTGAAAAAGAGAAACCTGATCCTTTAGGGCCCCCATACAAACGCAATAGCTACAGGGAAAACAACCATAGCTCTTGTTTTATGAGTGCCTGCTGCATTCCCAGTTTCATTCTAAACAGTATCTGCCATTTGGGCACGAGAACTGAGGAGTGAGGCCAGGGGACTCAGTCTGGACCACCAAGAATGGCAGAGATGACCCGAGCAAGTCCAGGCTACAAGATGAGGGCAGGCCGACAGGGAACCTAGGGTGTAGGTCAGGATAGACAGAACTCAGGGCCTCTACCTAAGCTAACCTGGGGCAATTGGGGTGAGAGCTGGGCAGAAAGAGAGCTGATACCAGCTCATGAACTAGGTGAGCTACCAGGACCCAGACCTATGTGCTGAGGTCCCCAGGTGCTGGCCTTCCTGGGCAGGGGAAAAGGAGAATGGGCAAAAACATGAAGGTATTGGGGTGGTGCCATAGCTAATCCATGTTCCCTTTGAGGACCAACTTAAAGCCAGGTCCTGAAAGTCCCAAGCCAGTAGCCATAACCATGTTCACCCTTAAGGTCTAATGAGGTACAGTAGGGGAATCTGTTCTAGGACTAGTTCCCAGTCTAGAACAAAGAAAGCATTGAAGCCCTAGATTCAAGAGGAGATGCTTTGGAAGTTGTTGCAATCTGAAGTTCTCCCGAGTCACTTGTCAGATACTGAAGCTATGGGGAAGGGCCTAAGCCTAGCCCTACTTAAAGCTGGTGTTGCCCAGGCCCACAAACTCTGGCCTCCCACTCCATCGTTGCCTTGCTCACGGCATTTGCAGCACCATGGGGCTGATCAGAGCTCACAGAGCCACACTTGGTATTAAGATGAGGTTCTCTGGCTTCAGCTGCCCATCACCCACCCAGACTGTCCCCTGGACCTAGCACAGGGGAAAGGGCTAAAATGATGCTGAGGGAGTGGTGAAGAGTCTCACGTCTACTTCCTTTGTCCCATCCCCCCTCAAAAGAGCCACCTTTTCCTTGAATGACTCAGAGATTTCCCTGCCTGGGGCTCCAAAAGCCTCCCCCCTCCCACTCATGGGTTAGTAGGTAAGGAAGCTATGCCTGAGACTGAGCCTGACCAGCCCAGCCTTGAGCCTCCTCTGTCCCCATCCTCAGGATTGTCTCTGAGACCATCATAGGTAAATAACTTTCTCTCTCAGCCCTAATGCCCTTCCTTGGGAAAGACAAAGGCCCAGGTTCCTGCTCAGATACTTGCTGACCCTGTGCAGCCTCCCCAGGCCTGCATGAGTCCTTGCACCAATAACTATAAGTATCATCTTTTTCCAGATTCACACCAACCCCTTATCTATCCCCCTGAACAGGAGCAGAAACTTGGTTTCATGAGTCTAGGATCTAGTCTAAGGTCATGAAATTGAAAAACACAGGCCAGAGATTAGAACTATATCTGTAGAACTTAGCACTCAGGATCACAATTACAATCTCTATAAAATGGCAAGATTCTTTGTTATAGTCTAGCCTCCAAGAGTCACTCTTCTTGCCATGCTCTACCCACACAGATAGCCACTAGTACAAGCTGCAGTTGAGTAAAGTTCCCAGTGATGACAGATTCAAGGGATTCTGGGTATGGAGTGTGGTCTTGGGCTTAGAACTATGTGACTTAAGCCAGAACTGTGTGGCTAGATCAGTCACCCCCAGAACTCCTTGGATTCCACCTGTTAGAGATGTTTCAGTCAGGCTTCCAGGGAGCCTGTGATGTGACAGGGATATGTGACTAGCCCAGGAACCAGAGGGGGTCATGCTTGGAACAGAGCCTGCTACTTTTAAGATGAAGCCAATGATTCAGATGGCGCCAGTAGCAGCCTCTTGTCCCATGGGTGAGATGGGGATCAGCCTTGCCCACCATCTAGCCCTGAGAGGCTCCCAACACTACAGCCCAGGCAGGAAGGAACCACAGAGAAAGTAGCTCCACCCCAAGCCTTGGTGGACACTCAGTCTCAGGTGGAGGGAAACTTAGACCCATTCTAGTCAAAAGAGCTTCCAGGGAAGGGCAGCCAAGATGAATGAGGCCTCCCTTTTTGGGCCTGAACATGCAGGCACAGTCAGCACTCCAGAGTCAAGAGCCACTCCTAGCCTCTTCCGGGTAGAGCAGGCTCTAACCATTCTGACTCCACCTCTTGCTCCCTGGGAAGCAAGCTTAACTAGGTTAAGCCTTGGTTTCCCCATCTATAAAGGAGGAAGGACCAGGAGACTGCCCTTATAAGGGAATAAGAGGATGAAACGTGAAGCAGAACATAAAAAGCTTAGCAGGGGCGCAGGGAATATTCTGCACCCACAGACCTCTGCTGTGGGGCCCTCTTGGGCACCCACGTGGCAAAAAGGGTCACTGACCTTCAGAGCACACTTCTGTCCGGTGCGCAGGTGGAAACACTCCAGCACCTTGCCGTTCACACCCAGACCCAGCACTTGCTTGGACAACTGGTAGTCATCGGTCACTGCGTACTTCTTGGGCTCCCACCGCCCCCCAAGAGCTGGAGCGCCGGGAAAGCCAGGTCCGCAGGGTGCATCTGGCGGGGGCGCAGGGACGCCCTGTTCCTCCGCTGTCTCTCCATCCATGGCCCCCACGGGGCGCTCAGAGGTGCCCCCAGCCTGGCGCGTCCAGGGCCACCTGGGTGAGAGGGGAAGAATGAGTTCCACCCAGACTCCTCCAACACATCCCAGGTCGGGGCCCCGAGCCAGACTGGGCTGCGGGCCGCAGCCGGGGCTGAGAGTAGGAGGCAACTGCCTGAGAATACTGACGCGCGGCCGAGGGCGGTGGGCGGGCGCCCGGGTGGCAGCAAGTACAGATCGGGCACCTAGGAAGAGGGAAAGTGGCCCAGCGTGGAGTGGCCGTGAGGTGGCGGGCGCAGGAGGCGGAGAGGGCCCGGTGAGGGAGTACCTGGTGGCAGTACACCTGGCGGCGGCGCCGGCAAGGGGCAGGGGCGGCGGTCTCGGAAGCCCCGGGCCGCGAGCGCCCTAAGCCGAGAGCCGAGCCGCCCGTGGCCCACGTGACCGCTCCCCGCCCCGGAGCGTCCGGGACTTTGGGCAGGGCTCGGTCAGCCTTAAAGGGCCAGGCGGGCCCCAGCAGGCCCCGCCCCAGAGCCGGCTCAGAGCTGGGGGCGTGGCTTCCTGGGAGGCCGTAACCTCTTAGGCTCGCGGGACCCGGCGGGGAGACGCTTTCGCGCCAGAGCAAGCCCGACCCGTGTGGGCTGTGAGATCACCCGAGTCTCCCAGTGAGCTAGGAAATCAGAGCGCAGGAAGTCTTGTTTCCTTGGAGCCTCAGGTAGCCACTTGAGTTCGAGTGTTTTCTGGGCCCTCCAGAGTGGCTTGTGAGGCTTCCAGCTTCCTTAGCGGTGCCCACCGCCAGCGTACCTAAGTCTCAATTTTTGCAAAAATGAGGAGTGAAGTGGCATCTCTTTGTCATTCACATCTCTAGTCCCTGGAGGCTCCAGGCTTCTGTGCATCCACTGGTCATACCCTTGATTTACATTTCTTCTTGGGATACTGCACCTTTCACCAGATATCCTAAGTTCCCATTTGGTCAGATCCATCAAATTTTCGTTTTACTTTTGGTGTCATGTTTTAAGTCTCCCCCCCCCCTATACCCCCGTGACAGACATTCTCTACTAGCTTTGTGGTTTTTCCCTTCCACGTTAGGTCTCTGAGGCCATCTTAGATTAGCTTATGTATTCTGGGCTGGTTTTCTCATCACAGCTGTTAACAACTCTGATTTAATAGATGAGGAAACTGAGGTCCCCTTTGAGGAAACAACTTATCTAGAACCCCAGGGGGTGCAGCTATGTCCGAGGACAAACCCACACTACTCCTGCAACCCCTCCCTTCCAATCCCCAGCCCAAGGCTGAAGGACCAAAACAGGTGGCTCACTGGAGCTGGAAAGCTGCCACTTATGGCTGGATTCCTGTGCTGGCCTCTGCTGGCATCTACAGGTCACTGGCAGGACTGCAGGCACTTGTGGCCTTGGTCCCACCTCTAAGTGCCTGAGAGCCTTTCTTCTGCTAGCTTCCTGATAGGGGCCCTGCAAAGGTACCCCCCAACCCCACCCCCTGCCCCAACACACACACTAACATAGACACGTGGGCTGCAGTCCAGGCTCTTCAGAGCAGTAGCTCCTAGACAGTGAACACCTTCTGAGAGCAGTCATTGAGCTGGATGGAGGGTGAGAGGCCTCTGCCCTATCTCCTTGAGAGAACCTTCAAGCTAGAAGGCTTCAGTGAAGTAGGAGACCCTGATGATAACCTCAGTTTGTTGTACACCCTTATTTTGGGCTAGATGCTGGGTGGGGTGCTCTACCTGGGCATTCCATGGCCTGACTGAACTGGAGGAAGGAGCGCCATAACCATCCTGTATTCCTATACACAGACACACAAGATAAGAGAAAACCTGAGAGGTCAAGCAACCTACCCAATGTCAGCAGCTATCATGGCCTGACCCCAACCACTGAAGAACAACTTCAGGATCCAGCTCTCGCACTCAAACTAGGCTCTCCTATCATATGCCTCCCTGCCCCCGCCCATATCCACACATTTGAATATACTCACACACATTCACATATGCACATATAAATACTCACATTTGAGGTGATGATCACATGGACCCAGGACCTTTTACCCTGAGCCCCACTGAGAACCTGATCCAAGATCTCAGAGCCTTGGAGGAAAATCTGGAGGTTTCTGCTGCTTGGAGGCTGGAAAAAAGTCTCCCTCCAGAGGTCACTGGTTTGAACCAGGTGAGCCTGGAGCTGTGTGCTCATTCTGGACAAGCAGGGTCCCACTCATAAATAGAAAGCTAGACAACTACAACTGCATGTGAAGGCTGGTTCCTCGTCCCAGCCAAGAGCATCTCAGTGCATACCTTGGACTCTGAAGATATTTTCTGAAAATCAAGTTATATTACAATTGTTCCCAAAAATTTTTAATTGTATTTTAAAAATTGTTCTTTTTACTAAAAATTTAATTGTATAAGTAAAATTGCTTGTTATAATAAATTCAAACCATACAGAAATGTAAAATGTAAAAAGCAGTAGTGATGCTTCTTCCCTTACAGTCTCCATAATGCCAATACCAATGCTTATACAAGCACACACATTCCCAACATGGGTACATCAAATATTTTGTAACTGCTCCCTTAACTCAGGAGAGTGAGCATGCATGTTTCCCCTCAGTGTTCATGTTTCAGCAACCATCTGCCGTATTCACCTCCATATTGATGGGAAGATTCGGTATTTCAGATGGTTGAGCTAGAACAAGGGTGGCAGACTTTTCCATATGTTGCTCCATGATGGCTGTTTTTCCAAGGGGATGGGGATCAAGGCCTTTAGAAGGGGTCCAATGAGTATCTGGAGGCTGTGTTTATATGTGTGTACAGAATCCCCTCAACCCTAACACACACATGCACACACACATACACACATGAATTGTCTTTCAGGGAGAGGAGAGGCTGCACATGGTGAGAATATAGATACCAAATGAGTCAGACTTTGAGGAGGGCCCTAATTTGTATTCTTGTGATCCATTTTGTGATTGTTCTGGGTGAGCCAATCCTTGGGGCTTAGGGGGTTATTCCTGAATGGGAGGCTATGAGGATCTGGCAAGCGAAAAAAATGAGAAGAATTGCCACTGGGCGGCAGTGTGGGCCAGCAGTCAGAGCAGTGGTGGGTGGGGGAGCAGTCAGGACAGGAGAGGTGATGATGAGATGATCTAAGGGACCCACAACATCTGGTGCTGGCAGGCACCTGGGCAAAACTGGAGTACACCACTGTTGACAGCATGCATGTGAAATGCATAGATTCACAAAGGGTGGCTGGAAGGTAAAACCCTTGAGGCCCTTTACTTTACATACAAAACTACGCAACTTTCAAGGGGACACCCACAATGCTTGGATATTGACTGGCCTGAGAGCAGGGAATCTTCAGTGAGGAAACTGGATCCTGAAGGATGCTTAGGAGTTGGCACATCTCAGGTCCTAGCAAGGAAGTGGAGGAGGGGGTAGAGAGCTACGCTCCAAGGCCCAGTTAACTCCTTGCCAGTGTGAAATCTAGGGTATATTGTAACCTCTCTGTGCCTTAGTTTCCTCAGGCACAGATATGTGGAAGTAAGAAACAAAATGAGACTATAAATTGCTGACAGTTCCTGGCATGTAGTAAGCATCATTAGAGAGAAGGGGTAGAGTCTTAATGTAGAGAGCTTGGGAATTTTTTCCTTTTTTTTTTTTTTTAAGAATAATGCATACACTCTCCTCTTAGGGAGCTTAACATCTAGTTGCAGGCAAACTTTTTTTTTAAAGATTTATTTATTTATGCATACAAGAACTGGGGACAGGCCAGAGGTGGGGGCGGGGGAGGAAGTGAGAGGATTCACCAGAGACGGAGTGGGGAACAGAACAGGCAGATTGACTGAAATACACTGCTGAGGGGAGTCGTGGGCAAGTCGAGAGGTCTGCTGTACCATGTAGCTCCCTGGCCTGGGATCGAACTCATGCTGCAGTGGCTGCAAATAGCTTCATAGGTTGTGTCTTAACCCCTTGTGCCACCAGGGAGGCCTGAGAATTTTTTTTTTTTTAATATACTTTTTACAATGTTGTTCATTCTCCTCTCAGGTATAATCCCCATAAAATTACCACTACCAGAACACCTGTGAACCATCACCATAGTCTCTTGTGCTCTTCTCTCTCCTGTTTTGATCCCTCTCCCTCCCCCAGCTGAATGTTTCTGATTTATAGTTTGCCTGCCAATTTGTTTTTTTTCTCCTGATGCCTTGTTTGGTTTCTTCATGTTACTCCTATAAATGAAACCATCCGATATTTTTCTCTTTCTTTCTGACTTACTTCACTGAGCATAATCCCCTCCAGCTCCATCCATGTTGCTGCGAATGGTATGAGTTTATCTCTCTTGATTGGAAAGCTTGGGGTTTGAATCCACGGACACCCCGGCTCAAATCCTAGCTCTGTTGCTGGGTAGCTACAAAGCCCCTTTGTCTTCATAGTAATAGGGCAGTGGACAATTTTTGTTAGAAGGACAGCGTCCCATACAAGCTGAGTTCTTCGAGTACCCTAGTAATCAAAATGGGTACTGAGGTCACAACCACCTCCACCTCAAGAAATCAACTTCTGATTTACTCAGGAGGGGCTGTCAGGGCTACACTGAAGATCAACTTCCATTTAGGAAATTTACAGATAAATGGGTCCCCTGAAGTCATTTCTCATCTTAAACCAATAATTTTTTAAGGGCTTTGCTTTTGGGTCCCATCTTCCACCCCTTCCTGGGCAGGGCAAATTCAGCTCTGTGTGCCCTGGGCAAAGCCTGGATATTATTATTATTATTATTCGGGTCTCTGAACACTACCAGGTGTCTGTCAACTCTGCTCAGGGACCTGAAGCTCACCTTTCTGGGAACCTAGATCTAAACACTGGGCAGTGGGGGAGTGAACCCTGCCACCCCTCCAAATCCTTCCCTTCACACACATACACCTCATTCTAACCCAAGGGCTAGATGCTCCCTGATGTGCCCAGTGAACTGTGAAAAGATAGAGGGTTGAAGCATAAACTTCTCACTCCATTGGGATCAAATTCTGGCCCTGCTATTTCATAACAAGGAATTTTGTTCCCTGGGGCTCAGTTTTCTCATCTGCATAATGGGGACAATATGTAGTAAATGCTCCATGTAGATAAGAAGGGATAACACTGTTCTGCCCCCTTATTTTTATTACCCTACCTTCAGTTTATCTCTGGGTGTTTGGAGCTCCAGGTCTCTCTCCTGCATTTTGGGACGCTCGCCAGCCCAGAGATGCCCCTGGACTCTTGTGGGGTTAGCTGGGGGCTATCATCCCTCTCTGCCTCACCAAGTTGGTAATCACCTCTTCCTTGATTGGTGAGACAGCGGGCTTGGAATGGCCCTGGATGGCCGACTTGTGCTAAAGCTTGAGATGTGCTTTCACCTCCCACTCTGCCAGAGAAAACGTCCCCACCTGGATCCTTTTGAATGTGGTGGCTGCGCGCTTAACCCTCAGGGACTTGTTGGAATCTGGGGCCTCCCTCTTCTCCCCTTCCCTCCCCTAACAAATCTCTCCAAACCCCAACCCATGCCACCTCCAGTCTCACAAGAGTCCGGAGGGAGCAGGTGCGGCCCACACGGGGTCGCTGGCACACCAGACAGACCTCGCGGGGCAAAGGCCGGCTAGAGGAACAGACGCGCGTCCCAGCCCTCGCGCGGCCGCCGGTTCTAAGGAGAAATTGGGCGCCGGCCCCCGACGGAGAGGCGTGCCGGAAGGAAGTCCAAACCCGGGTCGGCAGAGCCCCAGCCCTTCCCCGGTCGGCTCCAACCCGGTCTTTCCCTACCGGCCTCTTGGACAAGCACCACCCCTCCCGGTCACGTCACTTTGAGCCCTTGTGCTGCCATTGGCCCTTACTGGCCGCTCGGCTCCGCCTCCTTCGCTGCGATTGGTCGGCGCGCTGGGCCCCGCCCTATTTTCCTGGAAAGTTCTTGGAAATCTATCAAAGGCGTTTCCTTAAGTGGCCCACAGCCCCAGACTTTGGAGTGGTCGCCCCCGCCCGCGCCCCTCCCGGGCCCGGCCGCGCAGCCTGCGGTTCTAGGAAGACGCTGCTTCCTGGAAGGGCTGGGACACAGAGGACAAAAGATTAGGACGCTCGCCCCGCCCTACCGGCCCGCCCCCTGCGCCCTCCCAGACCGCCCGCGCCGCGGCTTCTCAGTCCCGGCCCGCGGACCGTGCGCCCCGGGAGTCTGCCCTCAGCGCGATCCGCGCCCACTGCCCCCCGCAGCCTCCGCCGGCCCCTCGAGCCCAACTCCGGAGCTGCCGCTGCCGCTGCCGGGACATGGTCCTTTGCGTTCAGGGGTAAGCGCGACTCTCGGTCCCCACCCAGCCTCTGCGCCCGCACGCGGAAGAGTAGCCGCCTGGTGCCCGCTGCCGGTTACTGAGAGGGCTTAATGGACCGGAGGTGACCGAGCGCGGAAGGACCTTGGGTAGGGAAGCTGGGAGTAGGCTGGCAGCACAAGGAACACTGGTTAGACTACGCCTTGGTTCTGACTGGGGCAGACGGACACCCGCAGTAGCATGTCTTGGGGAGTGGGCCCCTCCAAATCATGGCTCACCTCCCCAGACCCCCTTCTGGCCCATAGTGCTCTAACCTAGGCTGTCGGCAACAGGATCTGCTGATGACCTTGGACTAGCCCCTGCCCCCGTCTGCCCTGTCATCCACACCAGCTACCAGCAATGGGGCGTCTTGGGAAGACAGTCTGAGTTCTCTGCCTCGTCCCAGACAGGCAGCTCTTGCGAGAGCCTGGGTTTGATCTGGCCCTGCCTGGAGCATCTCCACAATCTCTACCCCTCCTCTCAGCACAGCCTGGGTTGCAATGGAAGGAGGATCGTGGCTCCTACGTCTCTTTTCCAAGTTTCCCAAACACTAGCCATGGTGGGTGGGGGCTAATAAGACAGAGTCTTGCCCTCAGCTGAGCATTCTTGGCACATTCCTTTGACTGATAGCCTCAAACAAGTCTAGTGCTTTCCAGACAGATCTGATAGGAGCTCAGAAAACTCTAGGGAGAGAAAAAGGAGCTGAAGTGGGTTCTCCACACCCAGGCAGAGCTGGGCATCCCAGAGACTGACTTATCAAAACTGGCAAGGTACCTAGTGAGGAAGGGTGGAAGGTGGGGCAAGCCTCAAAGTGTCCCTTGCTCTGAGCAAGAAAGAGACTTAGAAGTGCTAGAATGATTGTACTCCTGTGTAGCTCTAATTGTCTCTAGCCTCTGAATTTTGGGACTCCTGAACACCCCCTCCACTGCCAGCGCCCCCAAATTGAGTTCCTGGAAGGGCTGGGACACAGAGGACGAAAGATTAGGATGTGGGATTCTGGAATCCCATATTCTCTTTCCCTTTGAAGGCCCCCTTGGAACCTCGGGGCTAGTGTTGGGTGTTGAGGAGCAAGATTTTTAAGACTTTCATACATACAGAGCCACAGGCCAGTTGGTGCCCTCCTGGGGTAGAGAGCAGGGATTCTCAATTGTAGGTTTAGGCTATGAGCTTTGCTGAGGAGACACCCCCCCACCCCAGCCCAGGGCTGAATTTTCCCCAACTGGCATGTGTCCCAGGTGGAACTGACACACTGGGTTCCACAGCAGGCACACACATGTACAGGGCTACCCACACCTGAAACACCAGCCACCACCCCCTCCATGGTGATGACATAGCCGTGGGCACACCCCTCTCCATATATACAGTCTCTCATCTGGAGTTTGTGGGGACCCATATAGCCCACATGTGTCCTGCTAAGTTGTTTGAACATGGCCACCCTCAGAAGCTTTGGTCTAGCCTAAGCTAGCCATCCACCATGCTGCTGGAAGTTTCCTGGGCCTGAATTGAACTCTGGACCCCCGCAGGAAGTTCACTAGCCAGTTTCTTGGAACTTGGCCTTTAACTCTCTGAGTGAGATTCCAGAGCTCCCAAAGTACTTGAGCAAAAGTGGGTGTGAGAAAATAATGAGCAGACTCTGGTCTTATGGCCTCTTCTCCTGAGTGGGCCCTGATTTGTCAAAATCTTCTAAAGGTCACCTATAACCTATACTGTCAGACCTGGCTCTTACCCACTTCTCTGCCTCATAAGCAATACTCAGCACTCTTTGCCTATGTTGTCATCTCTACCTGGAATGCCTTCCCCCTATTCCTTCCTTTGACCTGACAGCTTCTGTGCATGACCAGGCAGTTGCTGACTCCCCCATGATACCCTTTGCTTTTAGGGCTTTGGGTTATAAATATTCTTTGTGGGCAAGGCCCATGGCTTCATCTTGGCTTCCTGAGGCCCAACAGGGACTGGAATTAGAACTGAGGCCTGAAAATGTGTTTTGTGAGGACTGAGAGAACACTTACCTCTGTGGTCTCTTCCTTGGGAACTAGGATCATACACTGCCCCCCCTCCCAGGATTACTATGCTGGGTGGGCTTCCCCTAGAGGAAAACTACAGCTGAGATTGGGGCTGGTTTAGCAACTAACGCTAGCCAGCTAAGAATATGGCTGAACCTCTCAGTATCTGAGCTGGCAGGACCACTCCATTGAAGGCAGGGAGACTGAGGCCTAGTGAAGAGCGAGATTTGTATAATATCATAGGGCATAGTAGGCTGGCTTGCTAGCATGGGATCTGGAATGCTGGATGAGGACCCTGCTCTTTTGTGGGCGCTCGTATTTATGGGAGGTGGAACTTTTCAGTGCCTTTAGATGCCACTGTCCACACCTCAGCTAGGAGGGGCAGAGAACAGGATGGGAGATTGACCTGTTTGGGAAGATTATTCTAGTCTATAAGCCCTGGCCAGTGTGGACCCAAGTTTCTTCAACAGACTTTTCAATCTACGAGGAGACAACATGACCTCAAGTCTCCTACCATAATCTTGGCACCTCTCTGGAGGACCACACACAGGCCCATCCCATGACTCAACCAGAACCAGTGCCATTTAATCAGCCCACCTCAGCCAGGAGGGCACCAATGTAAAACTGCTTTGTAGTGGGTCCTATCAGTGTGGTGGGACACCAAATGACTACCGTGAACTAGAAATGCCAATAGGGAATGATCTGTGTTTTTGATTGATATAAAATAGAGAAAGAGATTAATTGCTGATTAATAAATATAGGAGGTTAAAAAAGTCTTTTTCAAAAGAGGACCCATATATGGGAGAAGTAAACAAGGGGCCTTTTTTTTTTTTTAAGATTTATTTATTTATGCATACAAGAACTAGGGTACAGGTCAGAGGTGCGGGGGGCCGGGTGAGAGGATTCACCAGAGACAGAGTGGGGAACAGAACAGGCAGATCAACCAAAGTATACTGCTGAGGGGAGCAGCGGGCAAGTCAGGGAAGGTCTGCTGCGCCATATGGATTGCTTCCTGGCTGGCCGGCAATTGAACTCATGCTGCAGAGGCTGCGGATAGCTTCATAGGTTGCGTCTTTTATTTTTTTTAAGTTTTATTTATTTATGCATACAAGAACTGGGGTACAGGCCAGAGGCGTGGGGGGTGAGAAGATTCACCAGAGACAGAGTGGGAAACAGGACAGGCAGACTGACTGAAATACACTGCTGAGGGGAGCAGCGGGTGAGGCAGGAGAGGTCTGCTGCGCCATGTGGGTTTCTCCCTGGCAGGCCAAGGATCGAACTCTTGTTGCAGAGGCTGCGGATAGCTTCATAGTTTGTGTCTTAACCCCTTGCGCCACCGGGGAGACCCTTCATAGGTTGCGTCTTAACCCAACAAGGAGACTTTTGTGTTGACAAGTGAATGCTGGGGTAGTAGTGTCATTGCCCGTGGGAGAGCAGAGGGGAAACTGAGGTTCATAGTGAGATAGACTAGCCAGTCTAGAGTATAGGGAATCTGGAAATGGGGGGAACACAGGGCCTCTACTCACTTTCCATCCATTTCCCTCTAGACCTTGTCCTTTGCTGGCTGTGGAGCAGATTGGGCAGCGGCCCCTGTGGGCCCAGTCCCTGGAACTGCCTGAGCCAGCTATGCAGCCTTTACCTGCTGGGGCCTTGCTGGAAGAAGTAGCAGAGGAGACTCCAGCCAGGCCAGAGAGTGAGCCCAAGGAACTGGACCCCGAAGAGGATCTGCTGTGCATAGCCAAGACCTTTTCCTATCTTCGGGAATCTGGTGAGTCTGAGGAGGGAGGTTGGCCTTGCCCTGGGAAGTCTGATGGGGAAGCATAGCCTGCCTGTAGATTCTGATTAGAGAGGCATGATCCTGCATAGGAGAATCAGATGGGGAAGAAACAGGCTCCCCAAGGGAAGTGTGAAAGAGGAGGCAGAGGTCTGCCCTACCCTGAATTGGTGCCCTCAGTTAATTTCCATTGTGACCAGTCTCTCGGCTTCCTCTCCACTTGCCTAGGCTGGTATTGGGGTTCCATTACGGCCAGCGAGGCCCGGCAACACCTGCAGAAGATGCCAGAAGGCACATTCCTAGTCCGTGACAGCACTCACCCCAGCTATCTGTTCACGCTGTCAGTCAAAACCACCCGTGGTCCCACCAACGTGCGCATTGAGTATGCCGACTCCAGCTTCCGCCTGGACTCCAACTGCCTGTCCAGGCCGCGCATCCTGGCCTTCCCAGATGTGGTCAGCCTTGTACAGCACTATGTAGCTTCCTGTGCTGCTGACACCCGAAGCGACAGCCCTGACCCTGCCCCCAGCCCGGCCCTGCCTACTCCTAAGGAAGATGCTCCCAGTGACCCAGCACTGCCTGCCCCTATGGCCACTGCTGTGCACCTAAAACTGGTGCAGCCCTTTGTGCGCAGAAGCAGTGCCCGAAGCCTGCAGCACCTGTGCCGCCTTGTCATCAACCGTCTGGTGACCGACGTGGACTGCCTGCCACTGCCGCGGCGCATGGCTGACTACCTCCGACAGTACCCTTTCCAGCTCTGACCCAGCCGAGCATTCACCTTGCCCCACCCAGCCATACCATGGAGGGGACACGGGCCCCAGCTGTACGTGGGCTCCCACTATCTCTCCAATTATCCTGGTGCCTGCATGCATCTGGCAGCTGGATCAGGAAGAGCCAGAGGAACAAGGCTGGGGGCGAGGGGTAGTGCGAAATTTCATAACTTGGAGGTCGTGCTCCCAGTTCCCCTATAGTTCCACGTGGTAAGCCATGTGTCAGAAGAAAGGGAGATAGGCAGGACCTTGTCTCACCCTGTGGGCTGGGCCTGCCCTGGCCTCCTGAACTGTACAGACTTTCCCAGCCTGGTTTTTCAGTCCACAGGGTGGGGCAGGTCCCCTCCTTCCAGCTGGCCTCTCTGGATAGCAGCCAGAGAACTGAGGTTGATGGTGGCAGTCCCCTGGTAGGGGAGCAGGCCAGACTGGGGAGCTGCACAGTAATACAGTATTTATTTATTTATTCTTGTTGGCATTGGTCTTGGGATCAGCCAACCCCACCTCCCTGCCCTGACTGCTGAGTGTTCAGAGACCTCAGCTTCTCTGGTTCCTCCCTTTGGAGAGCCCATCCTGAGATGTGTAGCTGAATCCGAGGCAGACCTGGATGTCCTGGAGCTGACCCACCCACCTGTGAATTTGTCCTCTTCTGCCCCCAGCCCGGTTTTAGGAGGATGGGCCAATGGACAAGAATATGGAGCAAAAGTATATGCCTCCAGCAGAGCCTGCTGCCTACCCCTTTGCAGGGCAGAGCCCTGTCTGTAGAGAGCTGGTCTCGCTGTGGCTCAGGTCCTGAGGGAGTGTGTGTGTGTATGGCAGGAAGGGGGGTGCTAGTTCTAGGGCTGCTGACCAGCCCTCCTGGGTCCACTTCCTGGCCGGGAAGTTACCTGCACGTGAGATAGGGAAAGAAATACAGATCTGATAATACTTTATAAAATAATTATTATAGCAGAAAAACAGTTTGGTCATCTTTTTTCTTCCACTGACTTTTCTTAATGACAATAAAATTGTACCTTTTGTTTATGGAGCTGTCGGTGGGGCCTCTTTTGAGTTCTGTCCACCATTTGTCCTCTTTGATGTTATTATCGTTATCCCCCACCTTATGTCTGTGTCAGCCGAGGCCTTACGTGGCTGAGCAGGCTGTGTTTGGGAAGGCGGGTGTACTGACTGAAGGCTGGAGGGGCAGGAAGCAGTCTTTCTCCTCTCAGTTTCTCTGGGAGATGGCAGGCAGGAAGGTAGAGTTCAGCTGAACTGCCTGCAGAGTTACCGCCTGGGCCCTTTCCAGGTACAGGGCAGTGACAAAGGGGCGCCTCACCTGAGAGCTGTGTAAACAGGGGATGCCAATTAAAGATTGAAAGTGGAGAATTCTGGGGGAGGGATGCTGTGGCCCACTCCCGGGGCAGCATCTTTTGAGGTAAGGAGGCCAACAGTCAGAGAAGTCCGGACGGGTCTCTCAGGGAGAAGGTACAGGAAGTGTGAAGATCCCAGGGCGTGATTGGGAAGCTCATATTCCTGACCACAGGGAGGTTTCAGGAGGCCTCATTCTATGCAGAGGGGCAAAACAGTTGAGTGGGGGACAGTGGCCAGTAAACTGGCAGGTAGGCCTAAAGTTGGAGCTGTTAATGTTCTGGCTGAGTCTGGCTGGGGTTGGGGGAACCTCTCTTCCCACTCAGGCCCTTGCACACCAGAAGTGGGTGCAAGAGCTCTCTCTACTCTCTGATGAAATGGAAATGAAAACTCTTCATTATCTCATGGTCTGATTTTAGAACACTTCAGCTCCTGGAATGCCGCTGTATCCTGAAGTTTTTGGCACCTTTGCCTGAATGCCACACAGAAAAGCTCCTCAGAACCTCATTCATAGCCTCTGACCTTTATTTTGGAAATGGTTCTAACCATCCTCTTTTCTAAGTCCTTAGACAAATGAGAAGAGGCAAATGCTGGCAGATTGAGAGCAGGAAGCTATGAGGAGTGACATGTTGATGACAAGAAGGAGGCAGGCAAGGATAAAAAGAATTATGAGGCCCGGGACACGGGGACATGGAGATAATTGTGGCAAAAATGGAGCTGATTTGGGGTGAGATTGAGCAAGATGTGGGTGAGGGAGTGAGGGCTTTCTTCACCAGGAATGATGCCCAGGCACAGGTGTCTAGCTTGGCACCTTCCCTGTTGCTGGCTGCAGGACCTGACAGCACGTCTTCCAGGTCACCCTGGCCCTGCCAGGGATGTCGTGCTTCTTTGGTTCCTCATTCCTTCAGCATGAATCTCATCCCTCTGTGACTCTCAAAATGCCTGAGATGACCCCTCCATCCCCACATCTGAGTCATCTCCTATATGGGCGGCAGACACAGAGGGCCACCAGAGGCAGGCTGTTCCCTCACTGGTGCCATGACCTGGACAAAAAGTTGCTGTCGGAAGAGGAAGTGCAGAAAACTCTATTGACACAGAAAGGCAGATGTCTCCAGGTGCCTGCTAGGTGCTGGCACTGGACAAGGACTTTTATACCTCATGAGGTGCTCACCACCTGGGAATAGGTCTAAATATTACCCATATTCCATGGATGAGAAAACTGAGGCCCAGAGAGGGCAAAGGACTAGTTGAAGAAATGTTACCAAAAAAAAAAGAAGTGAGTTACAGAGCTAACCCTGAGGCGTCCTGATTGCCCAGCTGCCCCTGGACTGCCACATGGTGGGTGATAGCCTCCAAGCAAGTTACTCATGGACACTGTATTATACCCCTGCCTCCTTGCCTGCTAAAGGCTCTGGGGTCATTGGCCTGCCCATCAGGGTTCTATCCACCCTCACCCTTGGCTGAGCTCAAGCCAGCATCAGATCTGACCTGGGGAGTGGCTGCCAGCCACTTCTGACCCCTGACAGTTTTTCTGCTTCAATCTTCTTTTCATATTTCCCTATCAGGGGAGTGAGTGGTGCAGCCTAGAACAGGAGCAGTGGAGAGTGTGTCATGGAGCCTGAGACCCAGTCAGAGACCCTGTCTAACAGCTCCAGACAATGCAATCAACTCTGGCATGCCCTGCCAGATCTGGCCACAGAGAAATAGGAGAGCTGTCTAGTGGATGCAGGGGACCCTACAACCGACAGGCAGGAACAGATGGTGGCTGTGCACCCATCAAGTTTTCTGGCACACATGCTCCTGGGCACCAAATGGACCAGAATCCATCTGGGGACACAGCAAAGAACAAGACAGTCATGGTCCCCATCCTCAGGAGGCTCCTGGGCTGGTGGGTGAGAGACAAACAAGTGAACAGGACAAGTTTTGAGAGTGTAAAGAGAGCAAAGTAGGGGCAGGGCAAATGTGGCTTTGGGTTTGGGGACACTGTCACAGCTGAGGGGCAGGGAAGCATAGTGGCATCAAGCCTGGACGGCTGAGCAAAGAACAGAAGTTGGCTATGCAGACAACTTCGGGAAAGGCTCTGAAGCAGGGACATACTTGGCATGATCAGAAGGAAGGAAGGAGTCAGGCATGGCTGCCCGGGCGGGCTAAGGGACAGACGAAGGGTGGAAAGGCAGAGGGGCCATGGATTTCATTCTGGTGTGGTGGAGGTTCTTGGGCCTCTAGAGTTTAACAGGGAAATGTGATGACCTAATACTCATTTCAAAGGGGTGAACCTGTGAGCTGGGTGAGAATGGACCCAGGAGGCCTTGGGGACAGGAAGTCAGAAAGGAATTTTGAGAAGTCTAGGCTATGGTGGGGAGCAGGAGAAGATGAAGGCTGCAACTTCATTATCCTGGGTACTGGGTGGGGTTTGTGCCCCTTGAGTTCTCCCTGAAGCCTCGCAAGCCAGAGGAGGCTGTCCCCATTGACAGCTGCAGAGGTAAGACTGAGAGAAGTGGTAGCTTTTTCAGGGTTGCGCATGTTGCAAAGAGCAGAGTCAGGGTTCAAGCCCTGATTTGGGACCTTGTACATGTAACCACCACTCTGCTCTGACATACAAAAGCTGTGGCACCACAGGGTACTGAGGGCGTGCAAAAGGGGTGCGAGTTACACCAGGGCTTTCTGGAGGAGGAGGACTGGAGCTGAGCCAGGCCAGGGCAGCTAGGGGAGAGGCTGACCCTGTATAATGTCTCTCCCTGGGCTCAGTGCCCCGAGGTCATCTCGTTTCCTCTTATTCATGAAGTTCTTGCAGGGGTGCTTAAACCATCACCACTGAGAATTCTCACCTCCCCTGGATCTGTGGGAGCCCTGCACCTGGGACTAGTTTTTAATCTGCCAACTCAAGAAATCCTGAAATGCTGAGGCAGTGTGGGGCCAGAGCAGAGCTGGGCAGGCGCCTCTCACCTATGGGAACCCTCTTGACCTGTTTAGCTGCCCAAGGAAGTGGAGGGGCAAGGGTCCTGAAATAAGGCTGACCAGGAGAGTCAGAGGACTTTGGGTACCTTACAAAGGGTCCTCTTCCTCCAGGAGAAGTGGATCCAGTGCAGGCCTGGGCAGCTCTTTCGCACCAACCTGTTATACCAGTTTTACTATGAAGCAGGTTTAAACTTTGCCAGAAATTCAGCAACCTCCCATGGTGAATGCATCATCCCCAACCCTAACTCAGGGTCCAGAGCTCCTTCCCCAGATTATACGGCATAGCCTGCTACCCAAAAGGTCATTGCATGGCCTCTCTGCGTAGCAGGCTGGGGCTCCCATATCTGAAACTCTTGATATAAGGGGACCCGGGTGATTTAATTCTGATTAGCACCCCCTTGCTCCCTATCTTTTTTTTTATTAAAGATTTATTTATTTTTATGCAAGAGCTGGGGTACAGGCTAGAGGCACGGGAGGGTGAGAGGATTCACCAGAGACAGAGTGGGGAGCAGAACAGGCATATGAACCAAAATACACTGCTGAGGGGAGCAGCAGGCGAGACAGGAGAGGTCTGCCGTGCCGTGTGGGTAGCTCCCTGGCTGGCCGGGAACTGAACCTGCGTCACAGAGGCTGCGGACAGCTTCACAGCGCTGCTCTCCATCCGCTGCACCACCAGGGGAGGCCCCTTGCTCCCTGTCTTACCCCCACCTTTCCCCTCCAGTCTAGATTGTGTGACATGGCCTTTGTTCTGGGGAATTGCCTTCAATCTCATCGAACCTTAGGAGATTCAGTTGGCTATGAAATGAGGAGAGAAACAGGATCTCTCCAAGGGGCAGGGGGACCGAGGAGTATTTATGGGGTGATGTGAGGAGCATCTGATAGGGTTTAACCTGGCAGCTGCTGCACCTCTCATTGTCCATTCTTTTTTTTTTTTTTAAGATTTATTTATTTATACATACAAGAGCTGGGGTACAGGCCAGAGATGCAGGGGGGTGAAAGGATTCACCAGAGACAGAGTGGGGAACAGAACAGGCAGACTAACGGAAATACACTGCTGAGGGGAGCAGCGGGCAAGACAGGAGAGGTCTGCTCGCCATGTGGGATGCTCCCTGGCTGGCCGGGGATCGAACCCGTGCTGCAGAGGCTGCAGATTGCTTCATAGTGCCATGCTTAACCCCTTGTGCCACCAGAGAGACCCCTTATTGTCCATTCTTTGTCCATTGTTTTCATTCCACTTGAAGTGAAATGGACCAGTCAGGTGTTAATGTCCCTCCCCCCACTCTCTACACCCCACCCCTGTCCCCATAGAAGATGCAGGGGAGCTGGGCTGGAACTCCAAGTAGCCCCTCTCCCCATCAGTTCTGAAACTGTCCTCCAAGCTTCAAGCTGCCCTAAGCACCATGTGTTGCTCGATGCATTGGGTTCTAGTTCTGATGAACAAATCCCTTGGTCTGGTCTCTACATTGGGTCAGAGTGGGGGCAAGGCCAGTTCAACTTTCTAGTGACTTCTTTCCCAACTCCAGTAAAGGTGAGGCCATCCACTATCTGTGAAGGAGGTCTCCCTCACACATGTTACTCTTAGCCTCGGTGGTCTGTGCCCTGAGGAGTGAGTTACAGTGAGGAGGTAAGCTGGCCAGGTACCTCTGGGTCAGCCCCATTTCAAAGATGCTCACCTGAGATGCAGAGAGGCAAAGTAGCTTGTCATCAATCACCAGGGAGGGATTGGGCATATGGAATTGGAGTCTAAGGCTTTGAATCCCAGACCAGGGTTATCTCCCTCAACTTAGAACTCTTGAACTAGAGTCTGCTGCCTGCTCCCCGGCAGTGTCACCTGGTTTAGGACCCCTCAGGCACCCAGTGCCCAGTCCGATGCTTTATTGCCTCCTCGACACACCTCCACTCTCCTGCCTTGGAAACAACCCCCACACTGACTCCCAGCCTATGGGTCTCCAAGTCTGTCCACCTTGCCCTAGTTCCTCCCAAGCAGCCCTCCTGCTGCTCCCCATGGCTTCCTTGCTCAGATCTAGCCTTACCATTGCTAACTCAGCTGACTAGACCATCCTGATGCCCCTTACTACCCACCTCCATCTCCAGAGTGAGGTCCTTACCAGCTAAGCTTTACCCCTACCTTCCCCCATTTAATGATATTCACAGATACCCCCCATATCTTGTCAGTGCCTTACCCTAGGCTCCAGGATGTGGCTTCCCAAACTGCCACGCCGTTCCATGCCAACAACCCACGACATTGAGTCATTCTCCTGGAATGTTCTTCTACCTCACTTCTGCAGGGTAAACTCTTACTCATCCTACAAAGCCCAGCTCAAACACTCCTTTTCTGAGAAGCTTTCCCTAACTTCCCCAGCATTTACTCACAGGCACCTACTGCATTCTGAGGAATCTTCCTAGAACCCAAGTTTTCCCTAGTCTCTTCAGCTTGGGGAGAAGAAAACATATTTTCCACAACAGATTCAAAATCATCATTCTTTGGTTTCTTGTGAAATCTGTTTCTCTGTCTCTGTCTCTGTCTCTCTCTCTCTCTCACACACACACACACACATACACACACACACACACACACACACACACACCATGCTTCCCATGACAGATCCATGAAAGATAGTGGATGACCTCATCTTTACTGGGGTTGGGAAAGAAGTCACTAGAAGGTTGAACTGGCCTTGCCCCCACTCTGGCCCATGCAGAGACCAGACTAAATTATTTGTTCACTGGGACTAGAGCCCAAGGCATTGGGTGATAAGTGGTGCTTATGGCAGAGAACTGAGCTTGGAGGACAGTTTCAGAACTGATGGGGCAAGGGGCTGCTTAGAGTTCCATCCCAGCCTCCCTGCACCTTCCATGGGGATAGGGAGGGGGTATAGAGGGTAGGTGGATATTAACACCTCACTGGTCTGGTGTCACAGACCAATTGACTGATTGTGTTTGAAGAGGCACGTTAACTTAGTAGGAAGAACATAGAGAGGTTTCTAATCTCAGTATTCCAGCCCCAAGTACTCTGGGACTGCAGAACCTCGGTTTTCCCCATCTGTCTAACAGAGATAGCAGTAGTGCCTATGGCATGAGGTGCTTAAAAAGTGGCTGAATCTGGTTTTGGGAGAACAGGGAGTGAGTGGAAGCTAACACTGACCTACGAAGAAGAGAAGCAGCATGCCTCGGGCAGGGAGAGCCATATTGGTGCGGCCAAAGCTTCATGCTCAAAGGAAAGACAATTGCTTCTGTGACCCCGGAGTGGCTGAAGCAGGCAGGGCAGGGGGTGTAGGAACTTGGGACTGCCATGATTCCTTCCCAGGAAGTCCCCTAAAGTTACCCTACCACTGATCCCACTGGTGAGATTTAGACCCCGATAGTGTGACTACAGGGGAAGTGGTACCCACTAATGTTCCTGAGGCAGAATCCTGCTGCAGGGACTTTCCCCACACCCAGAGGAGCCAGACTGAGCCCTTCCTGTCACCAGAGCTGGGCACGTCCTCCATCAGAGGTGAGGGTTTCACTCAAAGTCTGGGTTGGACCAAAGCTTTGTTCTTAAAAGTACCTCTCAGCCCCCAGCTTCCTCCCAAGAAGTAACCTCAAGGCACCCCTCCCCCAGCCCTACATCTAAACACCGTCACTGTGTGTGTGTTTGCGTGTGTATGTAGAGAGTGAGTTGACCTTTCCACTTGGCCAACATTCCTGTTTTTCTAGCTCCTTTGGGTGTATGGCCACGGCAGGAGTTGCAGCTTGGAGAGCAGGTTCCCAGGAAATTTTTTCCCTGAAGCCCCAGAGACATGGAGCCCAAGGACACACCAAAAGCTTATCCAAAGCGAGCTGGGTTCCCAGGGCAGTTAGTGCAAGTAAGAGACAAGGAGGGGCCTCCTAGCAGAGAGCACCTGAGTGCCTGTGGGGCTTGCCCCTGGCATCCTGGACAGCTCTGCATTGTCAGCCTGGCATCCGGTGGGCTGAGCTCAGGCCGGAAAGCTGGGTTATCCTGGGTGGGTTGCTTTATCGCTCTGAGCCAGGCGTGGCTCAAAGCCGCCCCAAAGTCTTGGGTTTGCGTTCAGACAATCAGCTTGCTAGCTTCCGGCCCCCAGACATGCCCAGAAGAGGTCTCTACAGCCCTATGTCTCTTCACTCAGAGTCAGCAGGTGCCCGAACAGGGCTGCAGGCTGTGGGGCAGTTAGCACTCCCTCTCAGCATCTTGACAATCACCCCCTTTCTTCTCTGGGTCTCAGTGTGTAAGCCGGGAGGGTGCTAGGATCCAGGAGGATCCCTCAGCCTTGCAGAGGGCAGGGAAGGCCTGGTGCAGCACCCCTGCCTCCACTCTGGGTGAGGTGTTTTCACTAGAATTGCAGCAGCTGGAGGCCTCTTCCCAGGAAGAGCAGAGTGCCTCTTCCAAGAACTCAGAGGAGGCCTGCAGGCAGGGAAGGGGGGAGCTGGGGAGTTAATTTTAAACCAAACAGCCTTCAACGCTTCTCAGGAACTGGTTGCTCAACTTGATCTGGCAGGTCCCAGGCGGGTAGGCAGGCCTGGTGCCAGCTCAAAGGTGGTGGGGGTAGAAGACACACCCCAGAGAGGGAGGCCCAGTGACCTTGAGGGAAGTTGGGCGATGTCCTTGCCCAGGAACCAAGGCTGTCACTCCAACCTCCACCTACCAGACCCAATTTACTGGGTGTGTGTGGGAGGGGAGGAGGGGTGACTTCCTCTGTCCTAACCAGACAAGGTGATGTTATAACAAAGTTAATAATTCAAGTGTTCCTTCCTTCCCAGGGCCCCAAGATAGATTGTCCCATTGCTCTCCCTCCTCCTCCTCAGAACCTACCACTCCGGTCCCCTGGTGTGTCCTTCTGGACATTATCACACTGGGTAATGAGGCGAGATTAAGGCCTGGGCTGTTTGCCTATGGGATGGGACCCTGCGACGTCAAACTACAGTGGAGAGGAAGAGGTAACAGGTAGAGTCCAGCAAGCTGGTAAAAATTCTGGCCCCCCAAAATGAGTCTCCCGTGTGTACAAGGAGCCTCTGAACTGAACTCACCAGGTTGCTCTCCATGGCTGGCCAAGAGTCAAGGCATCTACACACACTGACCTCCTGACCCCCACCCAGTGTGGCCACCCCCTCAGCTAACAACCTGCGTCTACCTCTCTGAGAGGTCCCTACAGACACCCCACTTAGGGTACCTCCTCCTCCACTATGCCCACTGGCCACCCAATGAGACCTCAGCAGCCCAGGTGGGGCAAGGTCTACATTCTAAGAAAGGATCCTGAACAAGTGGTGCCAGGAGATGCAGTTCTTGGAACCAGCCCCACA